GTAATACTGTCAACAATAAAGATAAATTTTGAAAAGTAAAATAAAATTGTGAAGAAAAAAACCTTTTATGTTAAAGGAACATAAACAGGATGTGTAATGTCTTTACTAGTAAAGTAGAAAAAAAGATAATAAAAAATATATGTTTTAATAGAATGCAGGGTAGACAGAGGAAATGAGCCAAAAGGAATATGATAGAACACAAAATAAGATGGTAGAATAACTCAAAATATATCATAATCACCATAAACATAAAAAGATAAAAGGCATCTATTAAAACACAGAAATTTTCAGATTGATGCTATTCCCACTAATGCTGAAGGATTCCTTTCTAAAACTTGGAAATGAATAGATTATTTGAAACACACTGTATTATTATTTAATACATATTCTAGCACCTAAAGAAATAACAGATTTTATAGCAATAATTATATTTTCTTCTCTTGTAGTCTGATCTCAACAATGAAATGGAATCTGATATAATAGGTGTGGTAAGTAGTCTTTTAAGATCTTGTTTTATAAAATAAAATATTTCACATATACTATATACTTTTTGATGCTAGAATACTAAATAATCATATTTCCTTTAGTATCCTGTATAAAAGTATAGAGACATAAATATATAGTGAATGTTTAAAGCGTAGAGTGGTTTATGTTTTCTGTCACACAAATGAAATTGTTTGAAAAAAGGGAAAACATCAAATGTTTCTTATAGAAGATATTCTAAAATGTGAGACAGAAATAAACCATAAATTAATTGAAAAAGTATAATTTACAATGAGCAGTATCTTTTCAGCATATACTAAAACAAAAACATAAATAGTTCCTTTATTGACATTACTGATTTGTAACACTCTTTCCTTGAGAAATAATTTGCTTGTGTGCATCTTTCTTCAGGCAGAAACTATAACTACACTTTGGAATTTTTAATTACTCAACAGACAGACCTTAATACATTTAATAAGACAAAGTTTTTTGAAATTATGTATATCAAATATTGGTATAGAAAAATTTATCTTCTTAAAATGTCACTGTTGGGGAAATACTTTTTCTATATAATTGCAAACAAAAGAAACCTTGACCCTATAACGTGTTGCCTTGGGTACTTCTGTATATTCTTCCTTTCAAAAAAAACAACACCTGATAGTACTGTTTAGAATTACAGATTACCTAAAGTATTTTAGATGTGGCTGAAACAATTAGAATTGATGAACTATATTTCTTCCTTTCTAGGTGAATGTAGTATTCATTTGAGGAAGTTTAAGAAGCTCAAACACTCCTATAAATGATTTAAGAGTAGTTTTTAGCTTTTGTGTTTTTTGTGGAGTTTTTTTTAATATATCTTTTTATTGATTTCAGAGAGAGAGAGAGGAAGGGAGAAAGAGAGAGAGATAGAAACATCAATGATGAGAGAGAGTCATTGATCGGCTGCCTCCTGCACAACCCCTGCTGGGGATCGAGCCCACAACCCAGGAATGTGCCCTGATTGGGAATTGAACTGAGATCTCCTGGTTCATAGGTCAATGCTCAGTGGCTGAGCCACGCTGGCTATGCTAGCTTTTTTTGTTTTGTTTTGTTTTGTCCAGTGTTTAGCAGTTGTTTCATGCCAAAATAAAGTGTCTAATACTAATTTCATTTTTCATATAATATCTGGAATAAAAAAGAAAAACCCTCTGCCTTAAAAACTAGCTCCTTTTTACAGTTTGCTAATGTTTGAATGTCATTTTTTTTTTTTTTTTTTACTCTGTCTTGTGTTTCTTGTCAGAATGAAAATTTCTCTGTAGGACATAAAATGTTAAACAAGTTAATGCTTTCTTTTAAATGTTTTTAAATTTTTAATTCTTTTTAAATTAGAGTTTGCATTCAATATTATTTTATATTAATTTCAGGTGTACCTCATAGTGGATAGACAATCATATACTTTACAAAGTGTTCCCTCTGATATTTCCAGTACCCAACTGACACTATACATAGTTATAGCCATAGGAAAAAAAAAACAAAATCTTACCATGTGCTAGAGCATGGATGGACATACAGGGTATTATGCTAAGCCAAATAAACCATTCAGAGAAAGACAAGTATCACATGATCTCATTTATATGTGGAATATAATGAACACAATAAACTGATGAACAAAATAGATCCAGAGACATAGAAGCATGGAACAGACTGACGAATCTCAGATGGAAGGCAGGGTGAGGTAGTGGGTTGGGAGAGATTAATGAAAAAACTTATATCCATATATGCATAACCCACAGACATACACAGTAGTATGGGGAAAGCCTGAGGGGCGGGTGCAGAGTGGAGGGGATCAGTGCGTGGGGAGAGGGGACATCTGTAATACTTTCAACAACAGAGATAAATTTTAAAAAAGAGAAATAAGGCAGTCAGAGAAAGACCAATACCATATGATTTCACTTATATGTGAAACCTAAGGAACAATACAAATGAACAAACAACAGAAACAAAGTCTTAGGTACAGGAACAGACTAATGGTTTCCAGAGGGGAGGTAGGTTGAGGGCCTGGGTGTAAAAAGTGAAGCGTTTGAGAAGTACAGATTGGTAGTTATAAGATAGTCATTGGGATGTAAAGTGCAGCATAGGAAATGCAGTTCATGCTTTCTTTTTAAGTACAAGAAAGGTTTTTGGGTTCTTTCTGAAAAAAGGTTTCGATAAGGGCAGTTTAAATAAAGCCTGAGGACATTCAATTCAGAGATGGTGAACTGGAGAAGAACGGAACAGGAGGAAAAACAGACTACTTGACAGTTTTCCTAGGGGTAGGAAAATTTGCTCTTGAAGCATTTGTTTTAGGTAAGAATAAACTGAATTTAACTCAGTAACAAACTAGTAACTACCAAAGGCATAGTTAAAAATGAAGTGGCTCCGCATTCTGCATCTGGAATAAATCATCATCACATCTCTCTCATTATCAGCTCAGAGGAGGTTTTGTGTTTGAGATTATTCTATTTTAGAAATCATGAAAAGACTATTTTATCACATTTTTTATTCTTTTGTAGACTGGAAGGTTGTAATGACTATATGTTATATAAATTGAATACACTTTGAGGTTTCTGATATATATTGCTTTTTAAATGTAGAGAAATACATTTTAAATGTTTTTCTTACTGATAATTTAATAAGCATACATTATCTGTTACCTAATATTTTATTTTTCACCCTGTTTTCTCCAAACATTCCTTGCCCCTACCCTTCCATTTTATTTTTCTTTATTCTTAAGATTTTTTCTTCCTTACTATTTCTATTTTCTTTTGCTGTTTTCCTCTCACTGCTCCATATGGAACCTGAAAGCAAAGTATTGATGTGAAATACAGGAAATGTTCATAGACTTTGAGAATGTATATAATGTTAAAACATTACAGCCTTTAGAAACTAATTTAAAAAAACACCTAATGTCTAAGGGATTTTTATGTATCTTTATTCACACTGCTCATGATTAACAATGATAACTATGTCTTCTCTCTAAGACATGCTTTTTTATCAGAAATTATATTGACATTAAAGTGATGAATGGACATGCAGAAAAAAGCAAAAATTATTCTTGTCTTTCTCTACAGGGCAATCTGTTTTAAGACTTCTAAGCACCTAATATTTGATACTAATATTTGACCCTCCTCAGAATAGCATACATTCCTTATATATTGGTCAGGTGTCAGTTCTGGGATCCAATTTTTGATATACCTCAAGTAAAATGAGTAATATCATCAAATCATATATTCTTAAACTTGGAACGCACTTTAGTTTCAGTCCAACCATTACTCTAGTATTTGAATAACCTCTTATACATTAAACTAGGCCTAACATATGCCAAGTGCTGTATTTGTCACTTAACAATCATTTAATTTCATTTTATTATCATAATCCCTGTGATGTGAAATACATTTTACAGATAAGGAAGCTGAGACTGATAGACTCTAAGTCACTTGCTCAAGATCATACAACTAATAAGTTGCACATATGGGATTTGTATTGAAGTTATTGATACACCAAAAGCGATGCTCTTTTTTTAATACCACATATCTGTACAGCCTATGCTCATATACCTGCAGTTCTATTTACCTGGGAAACTCATCATAAACAGCTCTTAGTTTTGGAAGGTCCTCTCTTAGAATGACATAAAACCTGCCATTCTATAGTGCCCCCTCATCATTCTTACTTCAACTCCCAGATGTTGACAGAACTAACTTAATTATTCTTACACATGACTGCTTTTCATATATTTTAATACAGAGATATTGTCTTCCGCAGATAAACATTCTCAGGTCCCCTTACCATTATGGTTGCTCTGGTGTTAATATGGTACAAGGTATCCATGACACTTTTTCATGAAGTACTCAGAACTTACTGGTACTCAGAACTATAACAGCCAGTAGAGAGAATTAGTCTGTCACTTCTTTTGTTCCAAATGCTATACTAGTATTAATGATGCTTAAGATATAATTCATTTTTGTATTGTTTCATTTTGATATCCCCATCGCAAGGTGACAAAGATTGTGCTGCTTCCTCAAATAATAAAAAAGAATAGAATATATGTTCATAACATTTACTATATGCAGACAAACTTTTCTATTTTACTTATGTTAATATTTAATTTAACTAAAATTCCTTAGTCATTTTCCCACAGCCACTGTAAATTCTCCCTTTCATATATTTTAGTGTTTGTTTTTTAAAAGTTATATGTTTGCCCCTATTAAGTTTCATCGTTACCACATATCCAACTCATTTACAACTCTAATTCATTCTCTTAGTTGATAATTACTGAGCACACATTATGTGCTATGCACTGTTCAGTATACTAGGAACAAAATAGGCACATAGCCCTGTCCTCATCAAATTTGAATCAACAAATAAATCAGTGAAATATATAGTATATCAATTGGTTATAAGTCTTATAGAGAGAAATAAAGTGAGGAGATAGGATCAAGTGCTAAGAAGCAAGATTAAATATTATGGAAGGCCTCCATGAAAAGGTGAATTGAGCAAAAACCTGAAGAACATGAGGGATCAGGCCTTGAACCATGTGGCTATCTGGGAGAAGTGTACTCTAAGTGGAGGATATAAAAAAGCAAAGCATATGAGGGAGGTGCCTGTGTGATGTACAGTATTACAAGAATAACCAGAAGGCCAGTGTGGCTGGAGTGAGATATCAAGGGGAGAGGGAATGGGGTGCAATAAACAAAGCTGAGGTCTTGGAGCAAATGGTTAGGGCAGATTATATAGGTGCTGGGCCACTGTAAAGACTTCAGTTTTCTCCCCTCAACATTTGATTTATTTAAATTTTCAAACATATAGGAAAATTGAAATTATTATACAGTAAACCCCCATATCCACACCACCTAGATTTGACATATAACATTTTACTGTATTTGCTTTGTCAAACATTCATCATCTCTCTATCCATCCCTCTGTTTACCCACCAATGCATCTTATTTTTTATGATTCACTGCCAGGTCAGTTGCAGAAATCAGTACAC